TCGCTAAGTGAACGTAAGTACTTACGCTCTATTTTCTTGTCTATGATTGGTGGATTTTGCTTGAAAGGCCGTCAATGATTGGCTGATGAACTTACGATCTCTTAACTTCTTTGAAAGTATGGGCCAAGAAGCGCCAACATACACTCAAAAAAATTTGTAGGTGCGTACCTGAAGCGTCGGCGTACGATGGCGGGGTGGCGGTGGACCCGTCAGGTGGCGGGTCATCCAAGTGGGTCAAGATGGAGGTGTTCAAGTGGGTCAACATGGAGGTGTTCAAGTGGGTCAACATGGAGGCGTTGAAATGTGTAGCGTTGAAGTGTGTAGAGTTTGAAAATGTAACGTTGAAAAGCGCGGCGTTAGAAGGCGTGGTGTTGTAGATGCCAGGGGTTGTGGGGGTGAGGGTTGTAGAGGTTAGGCTGGTTGGTGCAGGGCTGGAGAGGAGTTCGGCCGAGTGGTAGGAGACGGTAGACGCGTAGATGTAGACGAACCAGGGGTGGATGGGGAGGAGCGACCTGCGGGGGGGGGGGGTTAGGACATGTAAACACTCAGAGAAATGAGCGAGATTTTATCTTTTTAGCGACGCATTTTCATTACCCAATCATTTCCATTACCTATACATTCATTTCCATCATTAATTTCCATTATCCATTTATTTCCATTATTCATTTCCATTTCCATTACTATCCATTTAGCGATGCACTTTTGTTATTGCATGGGTCATCCTGACACATCCAGGCAGAAATGGCCTATCAGTACTCCGTGCAGAAAGTGTGTCACTATATTAGGGCAATGTGGCACATTTATTTTTATGAGAGAAGACTTAAGACACCAACCACCAGACACACTCACCTCCACGCATCTGACGGTGGAATAACGTTAAATGACCGTCAATTGAACGTTATTTAGACGTTGATTGACCGTCATTTGGACGTTGATTGACAGTTATTTTTTTGACCGTCATTTGAACGTTATTTGGACGTTGATTAACTGTTATTTGGGCGTTATTTGAACGTTACTTACCTCGAATCTTGTGGTCTATAATAAAACGACAAGAAACATGAAAAAATGTGTAAGCCTAAAAAATTAGAATGAAAAGATTCATTTATGACCACCAGGGGCACGTGGGCACTAAATGTGGCCAGAGTACAATGGGCATCCCTTATAACTGATTCTGCCCTTAACACCCTACCCTCAACTGCCCCTAGACAAGCCATGCAACTACCCTCTACTCCCCCTAGACAAGCCATCAACTACCCTCAACTCCCCCTAGACAAGCCATGCAACTACCCTCTACTCCCCCTAGACAAGCCATGCAACTACCCTCTACTCCCCCTAGACAAGCCATGCAACTACCCTCTACTCCCCCTAGACAAGCCATGCACCTACCCTCAACTCCCCATATATAAGCCATAAGCCATACCCTCACCTGTAGAGCTGCGAGAGGGTCTCGAGTAAGGGGAAGAACTTGCCCTTATTAAGGACAGGCTGCGGCCTCTTGAACATCAGACATAGACATAGCAGCGCCTTGACTGTCAGCGTCAGCAGCCGTGCCAGCGTGTCCAGCACCAGACATAGCCATAACACCTGTAGACATAGCCTATCATGGAGTATATATAATATTAATAATAATGGTTTTTTAAGTAAGTACCGTTTTGGAATTAAAAAAAGACGTGCAAAGATATCGCGATAATTTTTTTTCAAACGGCGTCGACCGTATAAGGTCGGAGAACTCAACCGACACGCTACATCGCGGAGTGCTTATCAACTACAGCGGAAGGGGCGGGGGTTTACTTAAGGGAAGCATATCGGTCAAAATCGAGAATTTTGACTCTTCCGGTTTCTAGTCTCATCTTAAAGCTGACATTCTGACCTATCCAACGGTACGAAAACCATCTCTGTACATTGATTTGTGCGTTCACGACAGATCCCGAAGGGTGGGGGGTGGTGGAGCCCCTTAACAAAACCCTATGAGAATGATTACGTCTGGGGTCTATAAATGTGCAGTCTGTGGCCTCGCACCTCAGTCAGCCACGAGCTGTCATGCTGGAAGGTGGCATGCAGTCGTTCTCTGCATTGCTGAGGGACTTCAAAGTGAAATAACGCTTATTTTTGGTATCCAAGCTAGTACGTTACACGCCTTTAAAATAGCGCATCATATTCCGTTATATGCCGCGCTATTTCGTTATATGCCGTCAGTAGGCGGTTTATCGGCTCTCCTGTAAACCTCCTACTGCTCTCACGGCAAACCTATCTCCTCCTAGAGTTTTGAAGCTACAGCAATGAGAGATACATCATTCGATTCGTAATGAAAAGATCTAGCAATTGTCGAGCCATTTTTCTTCGATTCGTTTTAGTTTGGATTATATATCTCAAAATGGGGGGGGGGAGGAATTTCGAAAATTCAAAATGTTTCAGAAAAAATCATCATAACAAGAGAACTAAGAAAAAAAATTAAAAAAGTGGCTCGACAATCGCTAGATATTGTCTTTACCAATCGAATGATATGTCAGGCAATGTTGTGGCACGTAAACTGCATGATGCATTAAATTTTCTAAAGTACCCCCTTTTTGGCCGTTTTCTATGAATTTCCCGTTTTCTTTAATTTTTTCGAAAAATTCACATGAACAAAATAGTCGTTATTTTCGATTTTACATATGTGTACCAGGTTTGGTGATGATCCTTCCCTGAATATAGAAAATAGATTTTGACCGATATGCTCCCCTTAAGATTGCTAGCCCTTATATAGGCTTCGCTTCCGCCCACTACTGCGGTCTTGATCGCGTGATCTATCACGTGTCTACCAGATGTTGACTCGTCCTCAATCTCTATCAGGTCAAGTGAATATTATTTCCTAATTTTATACAATTATAATGAGACGCCAGATTGACACCGGACAGATAGTTACCGGCGTTTGGCCGTAAAACTTTAAACAAGATTAAAGGTTGCGGCGAACGTCCGGTGACAATAAGATTATTATTATAAGAAATATAAAGGTTAACGTACTGGTGCTGGCCTTACCTGGGTCAGGACGAGGGGGGGAACAATGGGGGGAAGGAAGAGGAGGCTCCAGGGGACCCCCTGGTCCCCCCACACGCCCACATACATGAGCCAGATGGTGGGGGGCGTCACCAGGAACGTGAAGAACACCAGCTGCAGGCGGTCCTGCACGCAGCGTACGCTCTCCACCACCGCCGCCTGCTGCTCCATCTGCAGGCTGGCGGCATCTGCATCTGCTGCGTCAGCTGCAGCTGCACCTGCAGCGTCACCTGGTGCACCTGCACCTGCAGCGTCACCTGGTGCACCTGCACCTGCTGCGTCAGATGCTACACCTGCGGCAGATGGTGCCGCTACATCTGTTGGTGGTGCACCTGCAGCTGGTGGTGCGTTGAGATCCAAGTGCGCCATGACAGCTGGCTCACCATCACCATCAATATCAATCACCACTTTTTTTGGCGACGAATGTTGACGATTTTGTTCAGGAATCAAAATGTCCGATTTCAACGGCAACGAAAATTTCGGTTTCGGGAGGACGGATTCACCGGAATTTTCGTCGCCTTGGTTGCGGTCAACCACAAAAATAACGCAATCCGGCGACGCTGATTGGTTGAAAGTAACACGAGCTTCTGCCTCCTGATTGGCTGGCGCGTCTGGCGAGGACCGGCAACCGCCAAGACTAGACGAGCCCTCATTGGTTGGTTGATCTCCTGTACCCTGATTGGAGGAGGGTCCGAATACCGGCTCCTGATTGGCTGGCGCGTCTGGCGAGGACTGGCAACCGCCAAGACTAGTCGAGCCCTCATTGGTTGGCTGCTCTCCTGTACTCTGATTGGAGGAGCACTCGAATACTGACTCCTGATTGGCTGCTTCACGTGGGGTAGAGCTCTGATTGGTCAACAGGACATTCCTTGCCTCTTGGTTGGCCATCAAGTTATAGGCAGGAACTTCCTGATTGACTGGAATGTTTTTCTTATTTGTATCGGTATTCTGGACGCCGTTATTGTTGCTTGTGTTGTCACTAGCGTTATTGGTGTTGTCACCAGCGTTAATGGTGTTGTCACCAGCGTTAATNCACCACTAAGGGCACACCACTAAGGGCACACCACTAAGGGCACACCACTAAGGGCACACCACTAAGGGCACACCACTAAGGGCACCACTAAGGGCACACCACTAAGGGCACCACTAAGGGCACCACTAAGGGCACGCCACTATGGGCACACCACTAAGGGCACCACTAAGGGCACCACTAAGGGCACCACTAAGGGCAGCACTAAAGGCAACACTAAGGACACCACTAAGGGCACCACTAAGGGCAGCACTAAGGGCACCACTAAGGGCACCACTAAGGGCACCACTGAGGGCAGCACTAAGGGCAACACTAAGGGCACCACTAAGGGCAGCACTAAGGGCACCACTGAGGGCAGCACTAGGGGCACCACTAAGGGCACCACTGAGGGCACCACTGAGGGCACCACTAAGGACACCCCACTAAGGGCAGCACTAAGGGCACCACTAAGGACACCACTAAGGGCATCACTAAGGGCATCACTAAGGGCACCACTAAGGGCACCACTAAGGGCACCACTAAGGGCACGCCACTAAGGGCACCACTAAGGGCACGCCACTAAGGGCACCACTAAGGGCAGCACTTAGGGCAGCACTAAGGGCAGCACTAAGGGCACCACAAAGGGCAGCACTAAGGGCAGCACTAAGGGCACTAAGGGCACTAAGAGCACCACTAAGGGCACTAAGGGTACCACTAAGGGCACTAAGGGCACCACTAAGGGCAGCACTAAGGGCACTAAGGGCAGCACTAAGGGCACCGCTAAGGGCACTAAGGGCAGCACTAAGGGCACAACTAAGGCCACTAAGGGCACCACTAAGGGCACTAAGGGCACTAAGGGCAGCACTAAGGGCAGCACTAAGGGCACCACTAAGGGCACTAAGGGCACCACTAAGGGCTGCACTAAGGGCACTAAGGGCAGCACTAAGGGCACTTAGGGCAGCATTAAGGGCACTCAGGGCAGCACTAAGGGCACCATTAAGGGCACTAAGGGCACCACTAAGGGCAGCACTAAGGGCAGAACTAAGGGCACCACTAAGGGCAGCACTAAGGGCAGCACTAAGGGCACTAAGGGCAGCACTAAGGGCACTAAGGGCAGCACTAAGGGCACTAAGGGCAGCACTAAGGGCACTAAGGGCACCTCCAGCAGGGTCTGCCAGTAGTTCTGCAGGAACTTCCCCGCCAGCACCAGCAGCAGCACCGGCAGCTGCCACAGCAACCTGCGCGATAACAGGGATAACAGCGGGGGATAACAGGGGCAACAGTGAGGGATAACAGGGGGCAAAAGTGAGGGATAATAGGGATAACAGTGAGGGATAACAGGGGGCAACAGTGAGGGATAATAGGGATAACAGGGATAACGGGGAGGGATAGTAGGGAGGGATAACAGCGAGGGATAACAGGGATAAAAAGGAGGGATAACAGTGAGGGATGACAGTGGGGGGGATAACAGTGGGGGGATAACAGTAGGGAATAACAGTGAGGAAAACAGCAAGGGATAACAGCGAGGGATAACAGTGAGGGATAGCATCGAGAGATAACAGGAACAGTGAGGGATAACAGTTGGGGATCACCGCGAGGGATAACAGCGACGGATAACAGCGACGGATAACAGCAAGGGATAACAGCGAGGGATAACAGGGGGGATAACAGGGGGGATAACAGCGAGGGATAACGAGGGATAACAGCGAGAGAACGCAGTGAGAGATAACAGCGAGGGATAACAGCAAGGGATAACAGAGACAACAGTGAGGAATAACAGTGAGTGATAACAGTGAGGAATAACAGAGATAACAGTGAGGGATAACAGAGACGACAGTGAGGGATAACAAGGATAATCGTGAGTGATAACAGCGAGGGATAACAGGGATAATAGAGAGGGATAGCAGTGAGGGATAACAGGGGCAACAGAGGGATAACAGAGATAACAGGGACAACAGTGAGGAACAACAGTGATAACAGCGAGGGATAACAGGGACAGCAGTGAAGGATAACGGAGGGATAACAGGGATAACAGTGAGGGATAACAGTGAGGGATAACAGTGAGGGATAACAGTGTGGGATAATGGGGATAACAAGGAGGGAAAACAGCAAGGGATAACAGTGGTGATGAAAGACACTGTGTCTTTGAGATAACAGAATTGGACACTCAATTCATCATGAATGAACTAGATGTAATATCATGAATAAATGTTATAGAACAGATAAAGGATAACAATAGCATTGCTATAACTAAGTATAAGAGCAGCATATATTGTATATTGTTTTCCTTATACGATACAAGTTACCCGTCATCCTCCTCTCCTTCTTCCGGGCTGTTTTCTTCACTGTCATTGTTGTTATCATTGTTATCTTCATGGTTGTTTTCACTGCTGGGGCCTCCATCATTGTTTTCACCATCATTGTTGTCATTGCTGTTGCTCTTCTTGTTATCACCATCATTTTTGTTGTCAATGCTGTTGCTCTTGTTATCACTTTTGTTCTTGTTATCTTTTGCTTGAGTTGTTTTCGAAGTTGAAGCTTGCTGCTCCCAGCAACTAATACTGTTATCCTCCTTGCCTAGATTGTCATCTTTGTTGTCTACAATATTGTTATCATTCACATTTTGGTCAGAGTCAAGATTGTTTTCTTCTCCCCTAAAGTTGTTATCACTTGTCACTCGGGGGGTCTTAGGCCGCGCCCCTCCCCCCACCCACTCGGAGGCAGAGAGAGGGCTGTTATCTAATTTATTGTTATCACTGTTATCTAATTTCTTGTTATCACTGCCACATAATTTTTTGTTATCACTATTATCTAATTTCTTGTTATCACTGTTATCTAATTTCTTATCATTGTTATCTAGTTTCTTGTTATCACTGTTATCTAGTTTCCTGTTATCACTGTTATCTGTGCCTGGCTTGATAACAATTGTTTTCAAGCTACAACTTGAAGCAAGATTTTTCTTCCCACCAGAAGATGAACTATGGCTGCCATCCCTGGCTTTGTTATCCTTGTTCTCATTGTTGTTGTTGTCGCCCCCCAGCGCCCCCCTGGTGGGGGGCAGCAGGCCCACCAGGTCCTCCCCCGCCCCCCGGGCCCCGGACCCGCAGTCTCCTGACATCCTCCGGCCCGGGACATGGCCCCTGCGGGTCATGTACAATATTATATGTTATAGTAGGATTTTAAATATAATATTGTTATTAATTATTATATATAATCTTATTCCTATTTTGTATATACCTTATTATATATGTTATATTATAGCAGATTAGTACCTTATTATATATTTTATATAATAAGGTAGGTATAGGTATTATAAAATATTATATATTTTGGTATCATTTTGCAGGTACCTTTATATTTTTATGTTGTTTATTGCTTTTATATATGATATTATTATTAGGCCCCTGCGGGTCACATTATTATAAATTATTGTATCATTTTACATATAATATTGTTATTTAATATTATTATATATAATCTTATTCCTATTTTATATATACCTTATTATACTGTATATGTTATATAATAAGATATATTATAAAATATTATACATTTTGGTATCATTTTATATATATTTTTATGTTATTTATTCCTATTATATATGACAATATTATTATTTGATATATACCTTATTATATATGTTATAAACAGTGGTGGGCACAGCTAATCAAAAAGTTTGCTTTGATAACCATTAATCTGCTAACTGAAAAGTTAGCTTTTATAATGCTAAATTGATAAACAGACTAAAAATTTAGCTGAATTTACCACTAACTGCTTAAATTAATTAAGCAGTTAGTCAATTAAGTATATTAATTTAGCTTTGGCTTAATTTTTGGGGGTATCTGAAAGTTTGAAAAAAAAAATTTACAGAGATAAACTTTTAATATGTTGTAGCATTGACAATTAAGGAGCTTTCCAAAAAGTTTAAGCATTTTAAGATCAGATGATGATCAAAGATGTACATAAATAACTAAATAAACAAATGAAATTAAGCAGTAGTTGACATTCAACATAGATTGTTAAACAAATAAGAAATTATTAAATGAATAAGAAATTTAAAAAAATAAAAAAAAAACGCAGGTAGAAGCAGGGTTACACACTGCTTCTACTCCAGCTTGTCCTCCATCTCATGGTGATGATTGTTGCCATGATGATAACATTTATGATAACATTAATGACAATGTTTATGATAACATACCTTATCGTCCGTGACACGGTAAGACTGTAATGTGTTACGTGACTAAAGTCCAAAGTGAACTGTACCACAGAATTACATTGAGAACCATCGGCTAGTTGGTCCGCTGATGGTTCTCAAAGTTAGCTGAAAAGCTAATCAGATAAGGAAAGCTATGCTAATTAGCAGTTAGTGGATTAGTAGAAGTGTGCCCACCACTGCTTATAAGATATTTTTTAATATAATCCAGCTTATAATTAGGGGTTTTTACATTAGATTACATTTACAAAACAACGTCTATATAATATATTATTTATATTTTTATACTTGAATAATAGCAATGAAAAAATAACCGCAGGGAATTCTGCGTTGCAACCGGTGGAGCTGTCCATTCAGGACGGTATAGCAGCAGGATGACGTTGCGTATATAGCTCCTAGACTCCCACGAATAAGATAGAACAAAGTATTCTTATTGTAACTTATTGCCTTTTTTGACCAGTTTCGCCGTATTCAAAACTTGAATCGCCCCTGAAAGAATTGTTTGGATGGTCTGACGTTAACTTAGTCCGCAGCTGCAAAGTTAATGACTGTCTCTATGTGGAATCTTTGCCATGCTTCCTTTCCTGCTCAATTCTGTCTTTCTGTCCGACGGGTCTTTGTTGAGTCCGGGTAACAAATAGCCACCTATTGGACGGTGTCCAATTGTTGAGGCTCTTGCCACTATTCGTCTCTGTGACGTCACTCTTGCCAATCACCTGAGATTTATGGAGGGGACTGATCGAGACCGCGGCTAGAATAATCGAAAGCTTCATGCCTCAAAACACCGGAGTTCCCTTCAAATAATAAGACATTATTCCTTCTGACTCACTCAAAAAATATCGCTTATATGAACGAACTCGCTAACAGCATAATAAATAATCAAGAAATATTTTCCTTAAGAGTTTAATGTGTATCGATTTTTTTCATCGTTGAATCGGAAGAGTTATCGTAACGCGAGGCTTCCAAGATGTTTTGACGAACGCCAAATATATGGACGGAGGCTTGGCATGCCTTAGCTCTGATCTCCTCATCAATTAAAGATATCGCTTTTTCGGCTGCATAGTGCGTGTACTGGCAAGCGCAGAGGCTAGGCGTCACCATCACTGATCACTCAAGATTTATGGTGGCAATTAATAGCCTGAGCCTCTCCGGCTCAGATTTAGAACTGTTTTATGTGCGGCTTAAGCTCTTTTTAAGGCAGAGTGACGCCCGTACCTGATGAAACTGAATGAGGGGCTGAATGAAACTGATTTGGATTACCAGAAGCTAGGGCGACTCTAAATTCTGTTAGGGCTCCCCCTCATCCCGATGATTGCCACGAGGCATCCGAGACGAACAGCGCTCGTTTGACCCTCTCCTCAGTGATCACAAACGCTGATTCTGTTCAGGAAATATCGTCAGTAATAGATCACGCATTATTATTGAGGGAAAACGTTGTCATTTGCGTGTAGCAAGTCAGCTGTGCATAATTGAAACCTATCTGAAGTTACAGGGCACCATCAATTCGCGGGCAGGAAAGTAAATTTCATTCTAAAATAAAAAGTTTTCATATGATCCGACCCATTCCAGCGCCAAAACCACTCGCACAGAACCCCTTCCAAAGAAGCACTGCTAAGCAAAGATAAGAAGTTATAATAATAAATTAAGTAAAAATTTCTGTCAATTTAATTTCTTGGTAAAACCTTGGTCAACACGAATTTAATTTACCTGAAGAAACTACAGGGCGTTGCTGGAATAGCCAGAAGTACTCGCCTGTTAAGAACAACTTTCTGTTAGTCCTGACTTGTTCTGTTGGAAGTTAGTTCTGAGAAAATAATTTCGCAAAATTCTGAATCCCATATAACATTTCATTACCGCAAGTCTAACGTAAGGTACACAAATGTTATACTGCCGAAGCTGGCTAATTATAAAAAATATTACAAATATAAAACGTTTCCATCCAATCACTTTTTACAAAAACGCAGTAGCATGATAGCCAAAACACCTTCGAATGTAGATAAACGAATACCTATAAGCAGGACAATCATTCCATCAAATTTCAAGCCTTAAACAAGTGTACATAAGCATGAAGTTGAAGTTGGTTCAAGTTGCCACAATATTTGTAAAATATAAAAATTTAGCTAGGAAAAAACCTGATTGTATTTTGAAATCAAGTTTTTTTATTACACTTGCGGATGAAGTGTTCGCGCCACGATGGCTTACACGATCTTGCATAGGATTGATTGAACAGATGTCTCAGTAGAGCAGTGCATTAGGTGCAAGAAAGACCAGATATTGGATTCAAAGACCGGACTAAACGTCAAGGCTGCATTCACGCCACCAAGATAAGCATTCTTTATCCTGTCGTAGCTTAGGAATTAAATACTCTCGGCCGATTGCAGTCCAGTGTTGCTTCGCTTAAATAAATTACCCATACTTAACTACAGAGAATTTATCTCCCTAAAGTGCTCTTGGCTTACAGTAAATGGCGAAAGAAGCGTTTTACGACTGCTTGCCGTCATTGTCGTAAATCGTCGATAAGCGAAGAGGCGGGATGAGTAATTCAAAAGATAAGAGCCATCGCCGCGTCTCTGCCAGCGATGTGACCGAGGGAGGCGCGAGGGAGGCTGTCCACGGGTGGGTACAGGACTCGAATAAAAAGCAAACAAATTGTGTTTGAATTTGAAAATTATCATGATTAACAACATATATTCCAAGCAACAGTTGAAGCTGAAAATTGTCGTATTTTCTTAGGTTTTATTCATGTACTTAATTTGGACTAAATGTATGGTACGTAATTTCACGTATTGATTAAAACATTTTATTGTGGAATGGCGAAGCTAACCGTTCAACTTTTTCATATGAAAGCAGACATACATACATAACATTACATTCAATCAAAATTTCTACTAGATGGCATATTTTTAGAAAGTGGTTGATTTATGAGAAATGTTCCTTTCCATCTTTTTACGTTTTCGAAATGTTTCATGTATTTCACAACAGATAATCAAATAGGTACTGTAATTGATGTACAGTTAATAAGTTGTTAGTAATATTTTTGGACGAATGATTCGTTGCGACGTGAACAGCACCGGTAAACGTTAATCTATGTTGGTGCAGGCAATAATGCATTAAAACTTTCCAACCGACCAAAAATCCGCGGTATGATGAAATCCCAATATTTAGTTCCCGTTTTACTCGCGCACTTATAGAAACTGTAGTCAATGGTGATCACTTCATTGGCTAATTAACAGTGTTTCTGGATCCGATATATACGCCAATACCAAGCTATCGTAGTCATGAATATTAGGTTGGCAAATTGCTGGAGATTTCTAGGAAGGCGCAAGCCGGGCGTCCCTATACCATAATTAGCGCGCCACAATCTAGCGAAGGGACATTTACGGACCCGCCAGCCGTTCTTTGCTGCGCAAATGGGACAGCTGCTGCTGTAAATTTGGGGGGCGGCCATAACACGCAGCGCCCTTATGGCCTTACAGCACATACACTGCAGCACGCTGGCAGCTACACTGCAGCACGCTGGCAGCTACACTGCAGCTAAACTGCAGCACGCTGGCAACTACACTGCAGCACGCTGGCAGCTACACTGCATCCCGCTGGCAGCTACACTGCAGCACGCTGGCAACTACACTGCAGCACGCTGGCAGCTACACTGCAGCACGCTAGCAGCTACACTGCAGCACACTGGCAGCTACACTGCAGCACGCTAGCAGCTACACTGCAGCACACTGCAGCACGCAGGCAGCTACACTGCAGCACGCTGACAGCTACACTGCAGCACGCTGGCAGCTACACTGCGGCTCGCTGGCAGCTACACTGCAGCACGCTGGCAGCTACACTGCAGCACGCTGGCAGCTAGATGTGCAATGCGGTGAATTGCGCGTGACATTCATTCATGTCATCTCATATCTCAGTTTGCGGTTATTCATG